ATTTTGCTTTAGATAAAATGGGTCAAATTGGGCGGGTCATGATCAAACCCGGGTTTTAGCCCATTTGAGCCCAAAGTAAATTTGGGCGGATTATAACCCAATCCGCTTTTTAAGGCTGCCCATTTTAACCTCTTCAATTTCAGCCCAACCTGCCCATTTGACACCCCTACATCCTCATCTTCTTCAATCCATTCATCCCCATATTCATATTCTTCTCCATCTGAAACATTTAAAGATTCGTTTATCTCCACTTTATTAGACATATTTATCTCTTGATGAAACAAGTTTGGAAGATCTTCATCGTCACTGTCCAAATATGCAGCAGGGCCATCACCATAGTCACCATGTAAATCTTCATCATGTTGATTATCATTGGAGAGCAAACTATCACCATCATCTAACCGGCCCCCAAAAAAATATTTAATATTTGCTTAAGTGGCTATTCTCATTATTAGGATTCATTTTAATACAATTGCATGACTTGAAAATAGAAATGACCAGAAAAAAATTAAAGAAATAAAATCAGAATGAGATCTGGAATGGGTAAAGGAGGAAGTAAAGTTATTGAAAGAAAAAAAATACAAGTCAAATGTGATTTTGATTTTGGAGGGAAATTAAATGTTGGATGGTTTTGGAGCCAAAAGTGTTTTCTTGTTTTTTGGAAAAGTTGAGGTCTGAAACATCTGTTGTTAGCGGAAACCTGAAAATATAGAACAAGAAAGAACAACAATATTTAATGTGGTCCGAATCAGAATGATCCTACATCCATTAAAGAACAATTGACTGTATATTAACAAAGAAAGGGGAGACATCACAAATACATATAAGAGAATTGCTCTACTAATTCTCTACTCTTCTAATGTATTTTGTTACGAGTTTAGTGTGATATTAACAATGAAGAATGACCATCCTTTTATAGGTAGCCAAACTTGGGCTCCAAGCACAAAGAAAATAAATACAAAATTTATCTTCCACAAATTTTAGCTTGCTCTCCAAGTTTAATTCCTAACTAAGTAAATTGGTACATGAAATTTTCTTCCATTAGATTTGACCCCACAAAGATTAATTCAATTCTTTCATTCTCCACCTTGGTTTGTGTTCCGAGCATGCGTATGAACAACTCCGACCAAAACTTTTAAGTTTACTGGCAATTATATTGTAAGAAACAAGAAAAATCAAATCTTTGTTGAACACAATAGCTCCACCTAGCATTTGTTCTCCCAGAGTTGCATCAGATCAGTTGATGTATACTCCCGCCGAGTCCTTCTAGTGTGCAAACTTGACAAACAAGACTATCTTTGTCAACATGTATGCATGTAGTGTTATCGTCTGTGAAAACATTCTCGACCTTTATAGCTCCCTCTTCAATGATATCTCGAACGAAATAAAATATGACTTCAATGTGTTTGGTACACTCAAGAAATCTTTGATTTTTAATCAATTGAATAACACTTTGGCTATCACATCTAAGAGTTGATTGTAGTTAAACCAAACTCAATTTTGCCTTCACACCTATCAACCAGATAGCTTGTTTCACTGCCTTTGTTGTTGCCATATATTCTGCCTTTGTTGTAGAAAAGCAGCAATTGACTATTAAGTCAATTTCCAACTAATGACACTACCAACGAGAGTAGATATGTATTCAGTTGTGGACCTCATTCTATCAAGATTCCCTTCATAGTCAGAATCGACATAACCAAGTATTGAAATACCTTCACTTTTTCGAAAGGCAAAGCCAATATCAGAAGATCCTTTGAGATATTTTAATATCCACTTGACAACTTCCCAATGTCTTTTTCCTGAATTTTCCATGTACCTGCTTACCACACGTACAGATTGAGAAATATATGTACGTGTGCACACCATAGCATACATAATGCTATCAATAGCGCTAGCATAAGAAACTTTTGACATGCTCCACACCATCCACAGTCTGAGGTATTTATACCTCTGAAAGCTTGAAATGAGAAGCTAACAATGTATCTATAGGCTTGCTCATATGTATATTGAATCTCTCTAGAACCTTTTCGGTGAACCTTTTCTGATAAAGATATATAATATCGTCTTCTCGTGAAATCTCAATTACAAGAATTTTCTTTGCAGCTCCCAAATCCTTCATGTCAAATTCCTTACTCAACAATTTCTTCAAAATATTTTTCTCTAGCGATGTTGTTAGCAACAATAAGCATATCATCAACATACAACAATAAATAAATCATGGAGTTACCAGACATTTTCTTGTGATACACACAACTATCCAATGTACTCCTCGAAAATTTATGTGTAGTAATGAATGCATCAAACCTCTTGTACCACTGTCTAGGGAATTGTTTCAAACTTTATAAGGACTTCTTTCGTTGCCATTTATGATCTTCTATTACCTCATCTAGGAAACCTTCAGATTGATTCATGTAGATTGTCTCTTCTAGATCACCATGTAAGAAAGTAGTTTTGACATTAAGTTATTGAAGCTCCAAATTAAATTGTGCAAACAATGCTAGTAGCACGTGAATTGAGATAAGTTTCACGACCGGAGAGAAGATATCATTGTAGTCAATTCCCTCATATTGACTGAAACCTTTTGGAACCAATATTGCCTTGAACCTAGCATATTTCACTTCTAGAATACTCTCTTTCTTTCTGTGGACTCGTTTGCATTCAACTGTCCTCTTCCCCTTTGGCCTTTTAACTAAGACCAATGTCTTTTTTTTTTAAAGAGACTCCATCTCTTCCATTATAGCTAACCGTCATTGTGCAGTATCATTGCAAGAAATTGCTTCAATATACGAGAAGGACTAGAGATCCTTAATCTCTTCTTCTACAGCTACGAACACATAGGGTATCAGATTTGCTTTCTCTATATGACATTCCAGTTTTCGTATTTGCATTTTTTCCCATTCCTTTACAATTGTGTATGGTTCATTGACAACAAATTCTTCAAGATCTGCATTTTTGACTCATCAACTTGCCTCTCTTGATCCCTTTCCTTTGTAAGATCCAATGATAGCTCCACCTACTCGTTGTTCTCATTTTCTAATAACTCCACAGATACTTTACGAGGATCAAGTATAGAGGATTCATCAAAGGAAGCATCTCTACTACCTACAAATTAGAAAAGACAAACACCAAAGCTTGTACTCTTTTACTCCATCTACATACCCATTCTTTGCCCTTGGTTCAAGCTTTCCTTCATTAGCATGATAATAAGCTAGACACTCATATATTCGCAAATGTGAATAGTTAAAGGGTTCACCTGACCATACCTCATTCGGAGTCTTAAAGTCAATCATTGATCCTAGAGATCGATTGACATTATGAGAAGCAGTGTGAACTGCTTCAGCCCAAAAAACTTTGAACCTTTTTGGCTTGTAAGAGGATATAACGAACCTTCTCAAGAAGAGTCTTGTTCATCCTCTCGGAAAATCCATTATGGTGTGGTGTGTATCTGACCATCTTATGTCTTGCAATCCCATAAATCTTGTAGAAATCATTGAACTCTTCACTGCAAAAATCCAACCATTTTCTGTGCAAAAATACTTGATTTTTCTCTCCATTTGATTCTCAACTAAAACCTTTTATTCTTTAAATGCTTCAAAAGCGTCATCTTTTGCCTTCGAGAAACGTACTCAAACCTTTCGTGAAAAATCATCAATGAATGTGAGAAAATACCTATTTTCTCTCTTCAATGGAAGCTTAGAGGGACCCTATAAATCTGAATGGATGTAGTCTAGCACCCCTCCTATCTTGTGTTTGCCAGTGCTGAAGCTGGCCTTTTTCTTCTTCCCTATGATGTAGTGCTCACAAAATTCAAGTGTGCTTATTTTTTCACCATTCAAAAGGTTGCAGTTTCTCCACATCTCTAGTCCTCGTGCACTCATATGACCCAGTCTCATGTGCCATAATATTCCCTTGTCATTATCATATAACTGAATTGTAGATGCATTTACAGAGTCAACAATGAATCTTCCTACTAGTGTGTGCACGCCATCCTCCATCTTGGACTTCATCAAGACTAAAGACCTTTTAGTCACTTTCATAGTTTGTCATTCGTTCATACACTTGTGGCCTTGTTTATCCAGAGTGCCCAAGGAGATCAAATTCACTTTTAGATCAGGAACATGACAATTTTTTGTAATAGTCTTGATGATTCCCTCATGACAGCAAATCCGAAATGAACCAATGGTAACTATTTTGCAAGTTGTATTATTGCCCATTACAATGGTTCCTCTACTTGTCTCAAAGCTACTGAACCAATCTCTTCAGAATGTCATATAGAGTGTACAACCATAGTCTAACACTAATGTATTGTCATAGACTCCACTATTGCATGATGTTTTTAGTATATAGTTATCATTAGAATTGATCACGTCCAATCCTACACCTCAAATGAAATGTAGTACGGTCGTAGCAATATAAACCTAACAAAAGTTGAGGTCGATCCCACAAGGAGTACACGCGTGTCAAGATGTCAAGAGTGTGAGAATTTATAACTTTCTTAAGCTTATCTTCAAATAAAAGAGTGAGTGAGTAATTAAATATAAAACTAGATTGTTTTCTAAGCTAGGATTTAATCAACACCAAGAGTGCAATAACAATATTTTATTTTTCCAAATTTAGAGAGGGACCGGAGTTGTAGCCTCAAATTGGCATAACTAGTTCATGAACACAAGTATCTTGCTCAAATGCATAGGATTAATGAAAATGGTCAATTTTCCAACTCTAGCAAAGTAATCCCAAACGTTCTTCCAAACTCAAAGGAAAATATTAAGACCCAATTGATAGACCCAAGTAGAAATCTCCCTATTCCCAGTTCGACTTTGTTAATCAAGCACAATTAATTCCTTAATATACTTGATTCCTTGCTACTTGTTAAAAACGCAATCCAATTTTCACCCTTCCGAGCAAGAAGTGAATATATAGGGCTAAATCTAGTGTTTGCAACCACCAAATTCACAAATAAGAATGTAAACAAGTAGTTAATCACAACCTAAGTAATAATAAGCAAGATAAACTAGTATTCAATCACATAAAAGCCATAAGAGTCTACAACCTCAACTAATAGGTTTAGCTACACATACTAGAAAAAGAAAATACAAGATGAAAGGTAAGAATAAACATAGTTTAAGATTAAACAAATAAGAATATGCAAACTTTATGGTGAAAATCTCTTAATCCTTGCAAAGTTAACTAGAGATACTCCTCCTAGACTTCCAAAATCAAAAGCTGCCCAAGAAAAATGACCTAATTCCTATTTATCTCTCTCAAAATTTGGACAAAGATGCCATTTCACTGCCAATTTCGTGGAGCAAAATCGTGGAGACATTCCAATTTTTGCCTCCCCATTTTCATTTCGTGGAGCCAAAATTTTCATGGAGTGAGACAAACTTGTTCCTTTTTCAGACTTAGCCAAATTCAAGCTCTTCTACCCTCAGAAACGGCTCCATGACAACTAAACTTGGGCACGATTTTTGTGACTTCTCAATCTTTACTTTTCTCACTCTTTTGCTCCAACCTCCATCTTGTTTTCATCATTCTTGATCAAATACTTGATTGCTTGACTTCTTTAGCTCCAAATCCTGAAATTCACCGATTTAAGTTAGTTTAGGTTATTAAATTATACTCAAAGACACTTAAAACTCAAGAAAAAGGTAATTCATATGTTGGTAATTTGTCAACTTATTAATTCCTCCAAACTTAAGCTTTGCTTGTCCTCAAGCAAAGTAAAACAACACAACCTTAACTAATTAAGCTCCCAAATCTTCATGACTTTGGTTGATATTAACAATTAATCTAAAGCATGTGAGATATCCATAAGAGCTTATCAATTTCAGTTTTCAAGCTTATATCTCAAGCATTCAATAGAATAAAATAATATCAATCCAACCATGACTTCAGAGTTTCAACTCTTGCCAATTTGTCACAAAAGCAAATTCATTTCAATTGGCAAATGACACACCTTGCTCAATTCTCAAATTCCATGTGCCCTCACCAACAACAAAAGATCCCTCACACAATATCAAAATTCACGCAACTATGGGATATGGTCAAAGAAATGGCCACTCACTCTCACAAAAGAAGTTCAAGTTCACCCTATCAACTCCATAGGCTTGCCCATAATGTATATCTCCCATAATATAGGTATATGCAATTCAGAATCACAGGACTTAAGCGGGTGGAATGTAGGCATTTGGTTAAGGGAGAGGTAAATTTGGATACAGGTGACTCAAGACCTCCCTAAGCACTTCAAATTGCAAAAACTCAACCCCAACTTCTCTTTCAATGGCTTTCCACATTTTCTTCATTTCAATTCAACTCAAGCACCTATAATTCTCAATATTCCTTTATTTTCTTGCTTTCTCCTCTTTTCTTTTGTTTGTTTTTTTGGAGGCTTTTGCATCAACTTTCACATCACAACATTACCATTTTTCTCCCTCGACCTTAGGCTTTTAGCCTTTTTGTCATTTCATATTCACATCAAAATTTTCCGACGCATCTCCCCCAAACTTAGATCTTTACTCGATTTTGCAATTTCAACACACTTAGGGAGGTATGGTGCCAAGAGATAGGATGATTGAGATCAAAGGGGTGAAACTTCTAACATGGTAGCCAACAAAAAGGTTCAAGGCCAAAAAATAGGTTGACTAGGGTGATTTCATACAAGGATAGGTAAGAAAGGCTCAAACTGTACAAGAAAAGCCTATGATCCTTTTCAAAATTGAGTACAACCTAGGATTTTGCCTCAAAATACATCCAGGGCAAGTTCTAGAACAACAAGGTGCACAAAAGCTCACAAATATCCTCATCACTCATGGCACATGGTAATTCGGGTCAGTTAGACATGCTTAAAGGCCAATAGAAACAGACGAACTCAGAAAGAAGAATCACCATTGCTTTATAACTACTTAGTAACCAACAGAGCCAAGAATCAAATCTAGGAGTCATGATTGAACATCAACTTAAATCTTTTCTTTCAAAACACAATGAACACTCACATGCCAAAGTTTAAATATGATAGTTTCAACCAAGCCACAAAAACTTTTCAAGAGACACCACTAACTTTTATTCATTACTGACATACTAAACAGAGTCCTAAAAAATGCTAGGTTCAAAACAAATTACTTCCTTGAAAAGGAACTATAGCCAAGAAACCGAGGAGGTTATTACTAACATATCTAGGCAAAACCCGATAAAGTAACTCAAACAATCATCGACCAATCACACTCATGAATCTAATACCCCATCCCCCAACTTAAAGACTAGCAATGTCCTTAATGCGAGAAATAAAACAAAGTGAAGAATAAAAAGGGAAGAGAGGCACCCTGCAACTCAGGTGGCTGATTCTGTTTGCATATGCCTCTTCTTTGACAGTGAAGCATCAACATCGACAACTTTAATGGTGTGTGAATCTGGAACACTTACAATCTGTTGGTTTGGACCCACTAAACCAGGCTACTCAGAACATGACACCTCAATCTCAGGAGCTTGGGTGCTCCTATAGAACAATAATGCATCATCAATTGTATCATCATCTAGATCCTTATCACTTGGTCTTGTGCCATCAGTTGCCTTATCAAGGTCCTCTTCTGCCTCTTGAACTCTATGACTCCACTCCTTTCGAAATTGAGTCATCTCCTTAGAAAAATTAGTAACAACTTCATTCAACTTTGGAAACTCAACTTTGCAAGACTTCTCTATCTCTGTGAGTGTATTTTATGCCTTGGATTGTTTTTACAAGCTTCTCCAGTGTATCATTCCTAACCTTCTCAGTTTGTGCATGCTCTTCTTGATTCTTTAAGATCTTATCCAATTTTGCATTTATGACTTGCAATGTACCGACAGAGGTTGCTTGAATGATAGAAGGTTCAGAATTGGATGGTGATTCACTGATAAGAGGTACCTTAGGAACTAGCTCGTCAGACTGGCTAGTCCTTGTTGTGGACGTTGTTTTGCTCTTCTTGGCAGTAGTCAATGCATCTTTTAATGAGAACAAATCAATATTCTTGGGTCCCTCTACCTCGACATCTTGGGATCGCCATGGTACATTAGCCTTCTCCATCAACTCTCTGTAAGATCCCATGGGAAGTGCAATGACTGATTTGTTTTGGTTTTCTTGCAAGCTGATATGATTTCTGTTGTCATGACTTGCCCCACATTAATGGGCCATTTCTTGATGATGGCAGCAGTAACAAGTGCCCGATGCAATGGAATTTCATCATCATTCTTACATGGTTGAAGTCGTCCAAGAACAAAACTAACCCAGTTCTTTGCAAGTTGGCTAAAAGTCCTCTTTCTGATTGTAGAATTGTTTAACTTCCAGTTCGGTACCTCTTTTTCTTTCCCTAACACATATACAACCCACTCTCGAATTTTACTTTTAGAAATTTTCAACTTTTTGACATAGGTAGCTTGGTCCACATTTGGCAAATCAAGAAGTTCATTGAATGCCTTTGGATCTATTGAAACCACCACATTACTCACAACTATAGTAGTTGAGTGTCCTGGCAATATGGACATGTTTTCATAAAATTCACGAACCAAGGTTTCATTCACTTTGCCTAGCTTTGTTGCCAATTTTAACCAACCTCGACTGACCAACTCATTATAAAAAGCTAGAAAACGCTCCTTGACACATATCAGATTCACTCCTCTTTCGAAACACAACTTCCTTGATTCCAAATGGGCATTTAAAATTTCTTTAACAGTCGGGTCATATGGAAGTACTTCTCCTTGGGTTTGCGTTTCTTGTGACCTCTCATGGTTTGCTTCCCTTGAATTACCCTCAGAATGAGCATTGGATTTGAGTTAAATTCTAGCAGTAGATTCAAACTCAGTCGGTTCATCCATACGTTTTCTCTTACTGGAAGGCAATTAAGGGGACATTTTTGGCTGCTTTGTGGATTGGGATTACATTTTGGAAGAGGATGGAGCATTCTTAGCAATTTGACCCTTCACTTGCACGACCCTCATAGGATTTTTCTTTCTTGATGGCCCTGTCATTGTATAACTATAGCAAAGGAGACAAGATTGTTACATGCGACCATCACACAATCAACACACAATGCAAGAATGCAGGCAAAAATGTGGAGACAATATAAATAAAATCTACCAGAAGATGTATCACTGCCCAAATTTTGACCAAATGATGCTTAATTAAGCTCCATTAGGTGAAAAAAATTCTCAAACAAAATCACCTTAATTTCTCAATTCCAATCAATTCCCAATAGCTATTTAGTGAGCAACATCACCCAAATCGGGAAAAAAATAAATAAAAAAAGATACAATTATCAGCCACCCAATTCCCAAACGCTCACACCTATTGAAACCAATTCAAAGCACTTCCAACTTGTAGCTTTAGCTTAATACCAGAATCACAATGGACTTTTGCAAGATAAATAAAAGAGAATCAGAAGCACCACAAAAATTCAACATTTTAACAACTTCCATACTAATCAATTAATCACAGGCAAATAGGAAGAAAAGAAAATGCCCTAGACATGGAAAATTTTGTTCAAATTCAGCCATGGAAGCAAGCAGTCATACTACATCATGAACTCAATGTGTACCCACTCAAAATCAACTCATTCATATCATGAAACAAAATTTTCAAAAAAAATCAAGAAGTTAAAGATCTTACCAAATGGTTTTTTTTTTTGCAAAAGTGAAAGTAGAAAGAAGAATGGAGTCTTTCAATCTTGTGAATCCGATGAAAAACTTAGGGAATGAAAGAAGGATGAAGAAATTCGAAGAAGAGTTTTGTAAAGAAGATGTAGGTGTGAGAGAGAGTAGAAGTGTAAACCCTTGCAATTCTTTTTATGTTTTTCATTTTTTTTTTAAAAATAAAAAATAAAAAATAATAAGAAAATCAAAACCGTTTTTTTTAAAAAAAAAAATAATCGGCTAGACGAAATTAAAACGTGGAGCCGAAATTTTCCAATCCCTGAAGACTCAATTTTTTTTTACTTCGGTCCAAGTCCACGAAAATATAGTGGAGACGAATTTGGTTTCACCTTTTCACCTGAAGCACATTTAAACTCACCCAAAATAAACAAAACATGAACAATCTACTTAGCAAAAAAAATTTCAAGATATTAAAAGGATACGAGCTTGGATTGCCTCTCAAGAAGCGTCTTATTTAACGTCGTGGCATAACACAATTTCCATTATCAATCAAGGTGTCATTGTGGGTTCCCCTAACTCAACATCCGAAACCACTTTCTGAACTTCAATAGGACCCAAAAAATGTTTAATTCATTGCCTATTCACCTTAAAATTCTCTTACCATCATCGGACTCCAAATCCACAGCACCAAAATGGTAGACCTTGATAATTTTGAAGGGTCTGAACCATTTAGATTTGAGCTTACCCGGATACAATTTAAACCTTGAATTAAAAAGTAGAACCATGTCCCTCGGGTTGAACTCCCTTTTCATGATCTTTTTGTCATGGAGGTATTTCATTCTCCGTTTGTACAAATAAGCACTCTCATAAGATTAAAACCGGAACTCATCCATGGCATTAAGTTGAAATATCCTCGAATTTGTTGAATCAACTGATGCAATCCAGATTGCCTCAAAGCCATCCACTCACGAACTTCAACGTATTGATGGATTGTTCACAAGGATGGAGGTTCTTGGGCTTATATTGGTGGCAATGAGAGATTCATATGCGTGGAAGATAACTTGGAGAAGCGAAGGGAGGCAGTTGACAACACTGCCACTTTGGCGAGCAGGAGGTCCATTGGCGCGTCGCCCAATGACTTGGGCGATGACGCCAGCTCACCCAAAATTACAGGACCAAGCTTGGAGCAGGATCCCTCGCTGACCCAATGGGCGAGTCGCCAAGTGGATTGGGCGAGCCCAACTTAGCTCGCCCAATGGTCATTTCGGGTCACTTTTGGGCCCTTCTATGTAATAATAACCTAAAACTATAAATAGGCATTTTAGGGAAGATTATTCTGAAAATGAATGATTGATGAATTGGATCTCCTTTGAAAGACTTGAGAGTTTGGTAAAGCTTTTGTTGAACTTTGTTAGAAATGGGGTTTCTTGGAGATTCAATTTCCTTGAGGTCTTGGTATGAGATTCGGTGCTTGATTTGGATTAATCGATTGAGGTCTTTAGGTTTAATACACCTTTAGGTTGCTCTTGATTTCCTTTTCTTGTGTCAATCTATTTATCTTGATTAGGTGCTTGTTTAGGATTGTAATTGGAGGTTTTAGGATTTAATATATCCTTTAGTTGTAAAATTGTTCCTTCTCTTGTATCTCTTCTTCTATCTTTCTTTTTTTTTCTGCATTTTATCCGTAATTCCCTTGTGAGAATTACATCATTTGGTATCAGAGCAAGGTTTAGTTTTGTTCCTAGGAATCTAGTTTTGGGTTTGTTGCTACGAAAAAAATGTTCAAATTCGTTTTTGAGAAAATTTCTGAAATGGGTTTTGTAGATTTGAGTCTTGTTTGAGTTTCTAAGATTGAAATAGTGTTCTCCAACTCTATTTGAGTCTAGGACTGAGATTTGAGGGAGTTTGGTTCATTATTGAAGATTCCACCATTGGAGACTTGAAGAAGGAACAAATGAGTTTTAAAATCTGAAGGTTTTGGTTGGGAATTAAGAGCTTAAAAGTATGGGGTGTTGTTCCCCATATCAAGGAGAGCTTGTATCTCATTTTTTGTGAAATTTCGAGCCCAAAATTTAGAGGGTTTAATTTTGGGTTCATCTTGTTCTTGATGTTCTTGAAGAACATTCAAATCTTCAAGGAAAGGAATATTCAAAAAGAAGAAGTTTGATTCCAAAAGAGAAGAAAGAGAAAGTGGATAAGAGTTTGTAAAACATGAAATTTACCAAAAAGGGTAAATACTAAGTGAAAAAGTGCAGGGGGCGCCACAGGAGTCCAAATTCGGAGTTTTTGGATTAACTTCTTGATTCAAGCCTGTTTGCTTTAATTGAGTCGTCCATTCTTCTTAAAACAAGAATCCACTCCGACCAAGAGTAGAATTGGCACATTGTGATCAACCGAGTATAAGCAATCTTCAACATTAGTTGCGCCAATTTGAGAGGCAACCAAAGGTGTGTAAACACGAGTGATTGTGAGTTCATTTTACTAACGCTAACGTTATTTGTTGTTTTGTAAGTGTCTTATTGCTAGGTACGATGGAAACCGGAAGTTAAACCCGTCCACCTAAGGGATGGGAAGGGTTACCTTGGAATCTCTAACGGAGGCGATAAACCATATAAGAGGTCAATTGACCACTATGAGGGGGGTAGTATGTCGAGGATGGAAGATAGATTGATCGATGTGGAGGATAGTTTTAACTATACTATCACACCCGAAACTGTCCATCAATTTTTGAAATCGACACCAATCAATCAAAACGAGTATGTGCCAAAGGGGTACACAAGGCTTTATAATGTTGATCAGAGAAGACAAGTTCTTCGGATAAAGGTTGAAATTTGTGGGGCTTTGGGTTTTGATCTTGTCCTCGATGAATGGTACAATCAAAACTATATCACTCCATCTATGGTAGCCTACTTGAGACTACCTCGACTATCAAGGCGTTATCCATACACCATGGAGGGATGTAAGGTTACCTAAGAGGTAAAGGTCTCTTTCACACGCGGTGAATACTATAAGGAGGTTTGGTGTGATATAATTCCCATGGACTCTTGTCACTTATGCTTGAGAGCCAATTGGTTTAACGAACATAGGGTCCCAAACGAGCAAAAATGGTCCAAATATGTTGTGGATCAATGGGGAACACATCTATTCCCTCATCCTAAGGTGAAACATGAGAGACAAAAGATTGACATGAGTAAGGGAGAGCAAGGTGACAACCTTAGAGTGGAAAAAAGTGAGGTTGAGTGGAGTGAAATGAGAGGGTTGCCACAATCTCAATCTAACCTTTTTATTCATCCTTCACTTTGTAAGGATTCTTATGTAGGTACAAGCGTGAGGAATTGAGGAACACGAGTTCCCAACAAAGAGCCTACAATTGAAGGTGTGATGGATGAACTTTTAGGATGTCCCAACATTCCTAAGGGAGTGTCATTCCAAGGTAAAAAAGATCTTTCTTGCGAGTGTCAAGGTACAATAGCTAAACTTAACACTTTTACAATTGCAAATGAACAAAGTGTAACTGATAGTTTGTCTTTATGTGAGCCTAATGCTTCTTTACCATGTGTTGATAATGTACATGTTGAGAGTGTGGATACACTAGTTGATCCTTTTGGTGACCGAATTGATTCTTGTAGTAAGATCGATTTGTGTCCACCTAGTGTTGACACCCGTGTTTTGAATGATAGCTCATTATCATGTGATAATTTTGTTGATCAACTTGCTTGTGAGTGTAGTTCACTAATTGATGGATCTTGTGATGTGATTAAGGAACCTCAATTTGGTGATACTAATGATAAGGTTGATCATTTGAATATGAGTGACTCTTTGAGCATACCTTTTGTGGAGGATCCAATAGCTTATTTTGCTCATAGAGATCATGTGCTTGAAAATTCTTCGAAAAATGATATGTGTCTTTTTTAGGGTGAACTTGGGTGCTTTAATTCTCCCATGGTGGTTGATCATTCCCTCTTTAAGTACAATATCTTATTTGAAGATGATGAAATCACTCATAGTGATGTACCTAGTGGTGTGGATCATGATAGTAGTGTAGTTCTTGATAGCTATGCTTTCTATAGTAACCTACTTTGGTTTGAAGATTATCCTCCCAAAGATGGAAATCTCTTCTTGGAAGATGAGAGGACTCTTGTAGGGAAGGATCATGATGAAAAGGAAGGTGGTATTTGTTTTCCCATTACCTCTTCTTCTTGGTGTGTTTTAATTTTTAATGGTATGACCAATGATTTTGAATCTATTAGTAGTCATACCTATGAAAACACCCTAGAGGAAGTTGACTTACGAGACACCTTTCTTTATTACTTGTTAACATATGATGATGCTCACGCTTTTAAGTGGAATATGTTGTTAGAAGGTAAGGGAGCCAATCAGGCAAAAAGGGGAGTACTTAATCCAAGTTCATGTATTTCCTTTCCATTTGACCCCTGTAGTAATTTGAATTGTGGCACTTGTGTAGTGATGTTTGGTCAAGATGACCGATATCATATGTTGCTTGACTTAAAAGGGGAGTTGTTCTTGTCGGAATGTGGAACCAATGAGGTCTTACATATGAGGTTATTTAAGTGTATTGGTTCCTTTGCTCTACCCCTTTGTCAATGTTTCTTAAGTAGCCAAGTATCTATTGCTTTGATGGGTTACAAACCCTTTGTTGATCTTTTTGATACTTAGTTAAATGTTAAATTTGTGCATCCTTGGCATGGTGATGAAATTTTTATTGCTAACGCTAACCCTCATGCCATGAGGATCTTGTTCTTGTTTGCTTCCCCTATGGTTTTGCAAGGTTAGAATTCGAGAACGAATCATTTTCAAGAAGGGGAGAATGATGCAATCCAGATTGCCTCAAAGCCATTCACTCACGAACTTCAATGTATTGATGGATTGTTCACAAGGATGGAGGTTCTTGGGCTTATATTGGTGGCGGGGAGAGATTCACATGCATGGAAGATAGCTTGGAGAACTGAAGGGAGGCAGTTGACAACACTGCCACTTTGGCGAGCAGGAGGCCTATTGGCACGTCACCCAATGACTTGGGCGATGACCCCAGCTCACCCAATATTACAGGACCAAGCTTGGAGCAGGATACCTCGCCAACCCAATGGGTGAGTTGCCAAGTGGATTAGGCGAGCCCGACTTAGCTTGCCCAATGGTCATTTCGGGTCACTTTTGGGCTCTTCTATGTAATAATGACCTAAAACTCTAAATAAGCATTTTAGGGTTCATTTTAGGGAAGACTATTTTGAAAATTAATGATTGATCAATTGGATCTCCTTTGAGAAACTTGAGAGCTTGGTAAAGCTTTTGTTGAAATTTGTTAGAAACGGGGGTTGCTTGGAGATTCAATTTCCTTGAGGTCTTGGTAAGAGATTCGGTGCTTGATTCGGATTAATCGATTGAGGTCTTTAGGTTTAATATACCTTTAGGTTGCTTTTAATTTCCTTTTCTTGTGTCAATCTATTTATCTTGATTAGGTGCTTGTTTAGGATTGTAATTGGAGATTTTAGGATTTAATATATCCTTTAGTTGCCAATTGTTCCTTCTCTTGCATCTCTTCTTCTATCTTTCTTTTGTTTCCGCATTTTATCCATAATTCCCTTTTGAGAATTACATCATCAACCCATTACAAATTTTGCCTTTTCAACGCCCACAAGGATTTATGCTCTAATTCAACTGGCAAGTGACAAGCTTTTCCAAATACCAACTTGTAAGGAGACATACCAATTGGTGTCTTATATGTCGTCCTATAATCCCAAAGAGCATCATCAAGTTTCCTTGACCAATCTGTTCTATTTGCATTGAAACTTCAACTTGTCCACTTGATTGAGAATGATATGGTGTGGTTTTACCTTATGAGTGACCCCATATTTCTTGAGCAATGTGACAAATGACTTGTTCAAAAAATGTGAACCATCATCGCTAATTATAGCCCTTGGAGTGCCAATTTTTGTTAAAGTATTCTTCTTAAGGAAAGTCGTTGCACTTCTTGCTTCGTTGTTGGGTAAATCCACTGCTTCCACCCATTTTGAGACATAATCGAAAGCCAAAAGGATGTACTTGTTGTTATAGGAGCTCACAAATGGACCCATAAAATTCACACCCCACACATCAAACAATTCAACCTCCACAATATAGGATTCAATGGCATCTCGTTCCTCTTTGAGATGTTACCTGACGTTGGCATTAATCACATGACGCGGCCTTCAAGTTAGCATCACAAAATAATGATGGCCAATAAAATCCACATTCAAGCACTTCTGTCGCGGATCTATTTCCTCCACGATGTCCTCCATAAGGCGATTTGTGGCATGATTTCAAGATCTCAAGCCCTTCATTTTTTTGTAACACCTTCTTATGAAATTATCGACACAAATTCGAAACAAGTATGGCTCATCCCAACAATAGAAATCACTCTCCTTCAAGAACCTTTTCTTTTGGTATGAAGGAAGCCTTGGTAGTAATAATCCACTCACTAATAAATTTGCCACATTGGCATACCATGGCAACTCATAGCCTTCAACCATTGTGACTCCATAAAATTGCTCAACGGGAATGATTCATTGATTTCTTCTACTTCCAATGGTCTCCCCCCCCCCCCCCATCAAAGACCGCCCGTCATCG